TTATTATTATTATTGTTGTTGTACTATTGTCGTTTATAATTTGTACAATTAACCTCCCTGTGGTTCGACCCCAGTCTTGCCGGGTTATTTATTACTTCGACACTCCTGCACTTGGGATAAGACATTAATCTTTTAGTCGTGTCAGCTATGTTTTTCAATAATATGTTTCTACCCATTATTATGTTGATAATTTTATTTTTTAATAAAATTAATATCTAAACACTAACAAAATATTCTATTGGTGTTATAAAATATTCTGGTAGTGCATTGTATTAAATATTGATTACATCATTCTCATTGACAAGATTGAGATACATAATCAAGCTATTATGAAGGAATTATTTAATCCAATTCAAAGTCATTCACACCTTTGATTTCCAATGGAACTGGTTGAAAATTCTGTGGACAGATGGATGCTGACCACGGGGATGAATTTGCCGGCTTGAACATGTTATTATAATTACTATAAAAAGGTATTATATATTTATCAAAGCTTCCTACAGATAATTATTTACAATTTTTTCTTATGATGAGATTGATCAGAAGACATGGAGCATAAACCAAATCTATGTACAGACACCCTAGACCATTTCTCTTCTACCCTAATGGATGCCTTGTTTTTAGAGACAACATTAATCAGCGCCATGTGAGAGGATGAGAAAGATTTCTTCAAGAGGAAGGAAGCGAATCAACTATTCACCACCATACATGAATATTACACAAAGTTTTTCACCCTTTTCAAGGCATTTCCTTCCTGCTCTCCATGATCCTTGTCCCGGGGGAATGCATTTGAGTGCTCTTTTATGCGACCCCAGATAAAAATATTCATTAAGTAATTGCATTCATTCAACCCATATTTTAAACTGCCGATCGATCTTAACAATATTGGTATTTTATTATATTCATCATTTTCACATTTTCTCAAATAATAAAAGGTTCTTTCAATCTGAAAATTACTGATTTGTGCTAAATAATAATAATAATAAAGAACGAACGGGGGATTAATTGATGAACTAATCTTTAATATCACATAAAAAAATCACTAAATCTAAATTATTAAACGGATAGCGGCGACTGACCCTAATGATTTATATACCAAGATTATTGGTCATATATATAAATTCTGGAAAAAAAAAATGTCCCTATAGGTTACTGTTACGTTTCAGCAACAATCTTTTGAACTTGAATTTTATGAAATGCAAACGATATATGATGAAGACGAGAGATGGCAAAAGGGCTGCGTTCAGCATGCCTAATTTAGTATGCCTGACAAATTTCTCACTGGTTCGAGTTCTCACAGATTTAAATAGATATAAGGTGATCAGGTTAGCAAATTGCCAGCTCTGTAGTCCTGCAGGGCACAGACTTTTACTACGTACAACAATTTTCTACTTAAAGTTTATATTAATAGCAGGTCGAGTTGACAGCCACTGAACCCATGTTCTGTTCATCAAAATTAGCTGGATTAGACAGTTTGACTCTGGATCCTCCATGGGTATGATGAAGACACGATACCTAGCTAGCTAGCAGTACTCTCTGCCTGGCTCCTCAGAGATATTCTATATATGTAATTAAACAATTTTTTTCATTGCTTATTAATTTATTCTTTATATATTCTCACCGAGGTGCAGGCCATGGAGGTCCAAAAGAACTTGGGACGTTGAGGGAGTGCTGGCTAGCATTCCAAAGTCACCACTGATGTCCATTTTGTGACCATGCACGATCTCTCCCGCGATAAAACATTTGCTTTCAAACTACGGCTAGCTAGCTACTGATACTAACACTAACACATCAGCTTTTTTTCTGTTTTCTATTTGTAGGGATTTGAATGAGAGGGTGACACGGATATATCATATGGTGATGATGTCTTCTCTACCACAAATATAAAGGACAGAAATGATAAGATCCAGCTTTGAGGATACGTATGGCACTGTCATATGTATACTACGTGGCTAAAAGAAGAATCACTGAATCATGTTATGATTGATTGTATCTTGGAAACATGCTAGTTATGCAAATCAGACCATATTTTTTCTTACAATTTTTACGACTTACAATTACTACAAGGTACATCAATGGATTAGGTAGCCTTCCAACATTAGCTCTTCAAGAACAGCAATGATTTAGATGGCTTTCTAACTTTTAGTTCTACAAGTACAGCGATGAAATAGATAGCTTCCTAACATTATCTCTACAATTACAGCAATGATCGATGTTGATATGGTTAATTTTCCGACATTTCTTATTGATCGAGCGGTCCATATATACTCTGTCCGATCCTATATGTATCCTAACATTCAGACAAATATAAGAATCAGATCAGAAGAAGAACATCCACCCAAGCTCCAACAGTACTAGAGATATCCCAAAACTACTACTAAACAATCAAAATACCATTTTAGCCAGCGAGCTCGCATGCATGCATTATAACCAACGAAATATTAGTATATATTATCAAATATAACGCATATGATGTACAACTAGTATGAGGTTGACAATATATTAAATTAATATTATATCATTGGCTTGCATTATATTATGGGTTGAATTGGATTTTTTTTTAATATACAAAAAAAACATTAATATATTTGTAATAAAAAAATTAATTAGTATAGAGATTAACTCGACGTGATCTGATTAACTTAACGAGTTTAAAGACAAACATTGTTAATATATTTGTAATAAAGAGATTAATTAGTATAGAGGTTAACTCGATGTGATCTGATTAACTTAACGAGTTTAAAGAAAACACATATTGCTGATGAAAGATAGAGAAAAAACAAATAAAAAATTAAAACTAAAAGTATTGAATCTGAAATACCAACAAGGACCGAAATTGATTTTCTAGATAGGAGAGATAAATGGAGGGGGAAAAGAAAGGGTCACCGACGACAAATCAACTAATTTTAAATATCACGTGTCATCAATAAAGAAAAAGAACATGAAGGAGAACCAAATAAGATGGTAGAAATTTATTGACTACCATCGTAAAACGCTGCACACGTTGTCTAAAATACATCACATTTTTCATGTATTAGCACTTGTTAGGTACTCGTCAATAACTTTGTTGATTTAAAAATTATTAATCAAATTGTAAATTATATTAGTATCTTCAACCAATCTAACAATTACAAAAAAAAAAAATACAAGATAACAAGACATCAATATCCCTATTTCAATAGCTTAGTTTTTGTCTCTAAGATAATATACGTAGTCATACAATATATATATATATAAAAGACAACACTCTTGCCCTACAATGTTAGTTTTTTATTTTTTTTATTTCTATTATAGGGGTATTTTGATTCTTTTACTATTATAAATATATTGAATAAACAAGAATGCCTCCTTCGAACAAGTCTATAATGCACCATATGAAAAGATAGATACCCCTGGTTAAAAAACGAGCAACTTTTCTTGTAAATGATAAAAAGATTATTGCATTACAGTGGTGAATAAAAAAAATATAAAAGGAGCTACAATGTTTTTACCTTCAGATTTAGTTGTTGTTTTTTTCCTTTTCACTTTGCCTTCGGCTACCTTTGCAACTAATTATGGAAAGAAATGATAGGATGTAATTGTTTATGTTTTTTGAAGTAGAAAGAAATCTGACAGTTAGAATATAGAAAAGGGAGGTATGCATACGCAATCACCTCACCTGAAAGAAACTACGAAAGAGCAATGGAATGCTTCTGTTTAGGCATTACGTGGCTATTAAAGCGTTGACCTTAAGCAACAATGTCGCCGTCCCACGTACCTCACCCCAAAGGCTTCTTAATTATTTTAAGGGGAAAAAAAACAAATAAAAGTAATTAAGAAGATAGTTGACAATCTAGATGGCGGGAAATCTTTACTATAAATAACCCCCCATGCAACCCCTTCCATTCGCAATCACAATAAAAGCAATCTCTCCCTCTCCTCCTCTGACCTTGTGTTCGGCTCATTGTTCCATGGCAATTCCAGTGATTGATTTCTCTAAGGTTAATGGCACAGGCGAAGAGAGGGCCAAGACAATGGCTCAGATTGCCAATGGATGCGAGGAGTGGGGTTTCTTCCAGGTAATTTTATTTTTTATGTAGTTTCAGGGCAATGTTTGTTGGATGATCATAACTCATAAAACTGGGTCTTAGAAAAGAATGGTGGATAATATTGGATTCCCTGACCATTCAAGCCTTTACCCTCAAAAAGAATTTCCTGGTGTGGCATTACCTGCCAAGAGCTTATGGTGTAAGAGAATTTCTCTAAATTAATGCGCATTGTTCATGACTTGTTACAGCTGATGAACCATGGAATCCCAGAGGAGCTCCTAGAGAGGGTGAAGAAGGTTTGCTCAGAATACTTTAAGCTGGAAAGAGAAGAAACCTTCAAGAACTCAACAGTAGCAAAGACTTTGAATGACTTGGCTGGGAAGAAGAGCGGTGAGAAATTGGAGAGCGTGGACTGGGAAGATGTCATCACTCTCCTAGATAACAACGAGTGGCCATCCAAAACCCCCGGATTCAAGTAAGTATAAGCACTTCCAATTTCCATGCATGATTTCTCTATCCTCTGAAACTCGTATAAACAAAAGGTGACTCGATAAAAGAACAGACTCGGCACAGACAAATGTAGCTCAACTTTCATCATCCCTGAAAATTACCAATGGTATAACTAATCAAAGAAAAACAGGCGGTGTATATAACTTTCTGGCATTAATGACAGGGAAACCATGACTGAATACCGTGCTGAGCTGAAGAAATTGGCCGAGAAGGTCATGGAAGTGATGGATGAGAACTTGGACTTACCAAAAGGATACATCAAGAAGGCATTCGATGACGGAGAAGGAGACGGTGCCTTCTTTGGTACCAAGGTTAGCCACTACCCACCATGTCCTCATCCTGAGCAAATCGATGGTCTCCGAGCCCACACCGATGCTGGGGGTGTCATCTTACTCTTCCAAGATGATGTGGTAGGCGGCCTTCAAATCCTCAAAGATGGGCAATGGATTGATGTCCAGCCAATGAAGAACACTATTGTCATCAATACCGGTGATCAGATTGAGGTCCTTAGCAATGGCCGATACAAGAGTACATGGCACCGTGTTTTGGCCTCCCCGGACGGGAACAGAAGGTCAATTGCTTCTTTCTATAATCCATCGCTTAAGGCAACTGTAGCTCCTGCACCAGCATTGGTGGAGAAAGATAGCGAAAAGATCAATCAAACTTACCCCAAGTTTTTGTTTGGTGATTACATGTCTGTTTATGCTGAGCAGAAGTTCCTTCCGAAAGAGCCCAGGTTCCAAGCTGCAACGGCCATGTAAAAAGGAGCAGCAGCTTCACATTAAGAAGATGAAACCTTTTCTTTTTCTAGTATAAGTTTTTAGTGACAGGTAATTTGCCTCATGGCAGAAGGCTTCTTTCTCTTGATCATACATATGAAGAGAAACGAAAGCTTGTTATATCCGTGTGTTTTCTTTTGATTGTCTATGTAATTTCCTTGTTTTGCAATGATGAGGTGCTTACACTACATTTGCTAAAGTTTGCTTTGTACAATAATAGTATCCTATATAAACAGTACTGTGAAAGCTCTACATCTTCAAGAAACTATATTTTTCCTTTCCTTTTTACCAGACTCTGTTTGTGTAATACACTACAGGATTTGATGAGAAAACTTGTCGATGGGGAACAAAGAGAAATCATTGAGGGAAGCGGGGTGAAGAAGAGTCCAGCAAGTCTATATATATATATGATAGGAGATGCAGAAACAAAGCGCTGGTTTGTTTAGATGGTTGTTACATAGAAGAGAAAAGGAGAGAGCGCCCAGTGTTGTAAACAATTTTAATGGTCACATCTGATCCTTTCATCCACTTGTATGTGTGCACAAAGCAGAAATTTGATGAACATGAGTTTTATGGAGTGATCACGAATTGAAAATCTGAGGGTTCTTGAGCCCAAAATTAAAGCACAAAGGTTAGAATGGCCAGCATCTAAGCCTTAAGGGACCATATAAGTAATTAACCCTGTGTTTGATGCATTGATCAAGATCATTAATGGTGCTTTAAAGATTTTTCTAATTTTCATTATCTCACAAATAGAGAGCGGTGCGGCATCCAGATTCAAGGAGTACCTAGATAATACACAAGCTTTCGATACCACGCCAGTATAATATCCACTCTGCCTGCGCTTTTTTAAGTTATTTTATATTCTGTACTCCTTCCTCTATCCTAGGAATTCCAACGCATTACTAAAGAAGGCGCACATCATATATAAATAAAGTTTTATCAACAGAGTATGAGCAACCAGGCACCGAGAATGTAGGTCCAGCCAAAGCTGAAAGGTTATGTTTCTATTGCCAATAGTCATTCATAGTATATACTTGCATTATCATTATCGACAAGAAGAAGAAGAAATGGCAAACCCTATCCTCATGTGGGAGTCAATGTTGGTAATGACTAATTAATAGTATTTACTCACTGTATGTTCAATTTTCTGTAGTAATCCTAATTTACAATCTGCACAGAAATTTACACAAACCTCGATCCTGGCTTGAAAATGGAGTAGGTTTCTCTTCAGTTTCTGAACTTCAAAGGGCCTTCTGATCTAGTCTCTCATTCCAGTTTAGGCAGCGGATCAAGCTGTGAAACCAATCGCCTGTTTGATCAGATTTGTTGACTGTTGGAAGCGGGTGCTGGCTCATAGATATCCGGACTGAATCCCCTCTTGAGAGCTGCTGCCTCCTCTTCCCATCAAAAGAAACCCATGCATTACTTCGAGCATCCTCTGGAATCTGTTTGATCAGCAATTATAAATCCTCAATCTGAAGAATATAACAGAAAGAAACATGAATGCAGAATCTGAGAGCGTTTAGTTTACCTTCAATTCAAGTCTTGCAGAATCTGGAAGGATGACTGGCCTAAATGACAGAGAATGCGGGCAGATAGGGGTAAACAACATGCAAGGAACATTTGGATGCACCTGATCCAGTATACACATCAATACACAGATGATTATGTTAATTGGAAATGGCCAGAAATAGCAATAACCACAGGGAATATATTAAGACCGTGTTTGCATTAGAGGTTTCAAGAGGAAAGGAAGGGAAATGAGCCCTCGATCTTGCTTGTCAATCCTTTTGCGAGGGAAAAAGGGATTGATAGAGATGGTTTTCCATTAACATGGCTTTATAGATCAAGAAATGGGTGGAAGAAGAAGAAGAATAGATAGCACAAAATCCAACTACAAGGAACAAACTTAAGTCCGATTTCTCAAAATATATTCACTCTGGCAATTCTTAAAGAGTGCATGGACAAATTTGTACAACTTTCCCTCATCCTAATGAAACAAGGCTCCCCCCAAAAAAATTAAGATTTAGGCATGAAAACTCAAAATAATGTAAGAATTGACATCTAAGATTTGATAACTATCTGGATGCTAAATATCACAAATTGCAAGAGACACTCAAAAGGACAGTTTACCATGGAACCTCCTGCGGCTGTGGAATAAGCAGTGCTTCCTGTAGGTGTGGCCACTATGACTCCATCACCTTGCACCTAGAAGAAAAGGTATTCATAAAAATAAGCACGGAAATATCATTGAAGATGTGAAAATTTCTTGTATGCTATGTATATGCTTAAACATGCAGAATGAGCATAAATTTTCATTGCTGTAAAAAAACTAAAATACAACTTAATTTTTTTCTAAGCAGAGGAGCAAACATAAGTCTTGCTCCTTGTGAAATAATTGAGGGCAGAATACAAGAATGTGAATTTGTGTCATCTGAGACATGATATTGCCAAACTCACCTTGGTTATAAAAGGTATTCATAAAATAAGTACGAAAATATCATTGAAGATGTGAAAATCTCTTGTATGCTATGTATATGTGTAACCATGCAGAATGTGGAGTAAATGTGCATTGCTGTTGAAACACAAAAATAAAACTTAAATTTGTTCTAATCGTTAGAGCCAATATAAGTCTTGTCCCTTGTGAAATAATTGAGGGCAGTATGCAATAATGTGAATTTGGGTCTTCTGAGACATGATATTGCCAAACTCACCTTGGTTATAAGTCGGTCATGTTCATAGCATTCAATCTTAGAAAGATATGGATTAGAACCCCGATCAACCACCATCTCATTTAAGACATCAAAAACTTTCCCGGGCACTGCTTTACCATTGCGAAAGATTTCACACCGGAGGCGCATTCTAAGAGTTATATAAACACCGTCCAAGGTCTTATTCCCATGAATAACTTGTCTCAAGTCCTGCCTGTAGTCTTCAAACTATATCAAAAAGAAAGAACAAAAGGCAGCAGTCAAGTATGAGAGCATAAAAACACCATTAACAAAACATGAGGTATCAAACTTACATAATGAGAAGTCAGAAATCCAAGAGATCCAAGGTTGAAGGACACAACAGGTGGAACCGCCCCTCGAAATAAATTTGATGCATGTAGTATAACCCCATCTCCCCCCAAGCATGCCACAAAATCAACCCTCTCATGAAGATCACTGAATCAAGAGATGCACATACTACCAGTGAGGCATTTGGAATATAAAATTATACATCAATGTCTTTGCTTGTTTGGATCCCAATTCCCAACTTCCGGTACCTGGTATCTTGACTATAAAAGGTCTGAACAAATCCAAACCCTGGAATTCTAGCAAATATGTCATGAACGTCAGGTTCAACAAGAACATTCATTTTCTCTTGGTGATACAAGAAGTAGGCAACCTGCCAACAGACAGAAAAATAAGTTAGGATTACTACACATGAATAAAATGATTTCAGTGGTGCTCATTACTACGAAGTTCTGAAAGCATTGTCCTGAGTTAATCCCTGCTTCCATTTTCAATTATCACTACTCAGCACCTGTAGGACCCGCAAACTGTTTCCCCTATGGGTACCCTCTGCATTCATGTTCAACCAACCATAAGACACGATGGATATCAATTTCCATCAACATTTTCCAAGCACTGAGTGATGAACTCAATGGACAAAGTTTGTCTTAAGGAAATTGCAAGACAAAGTGTTATTCCATGCAAAAAGGCTTCATTTGTGTTCTTATGTTCTCGTAATTCTGGGGAATGTAATATTTAAGGCTTTGTTTGAAAGAAATTTGTCTCTAGACTTCACACTTCGAATTGAGTGAATGAGAATGCAACTGCATATGTTGATTTTCTCTATGCTGCAATGGAAAATTTTCAAATTGAGAAAAACCCAATTTGAACTTTTTTGGATAAAAATTCAAGTAAAAACTTGATCTATTTTTAATGACTGTGCAGATGCTTTGATCCTTGGAAATTTGGAACAATGTCTACACAGTTATGGTTTCATAATTAACTTATATCAAGAAGCCAATTTTCCAGGAATTTGGCATCAATTGAGGATATTTTTACATAGTACCTCTTTTGCTTCTTCCATGAGTTCTTTCCCCAGCTTCTTCAGCAACAATACTGTCTTTGGCGTAGTTTTCCACATAAGCATCTGTTGCTGGGTGCTAGGATGAGTGAAGGCCAGGGAAGATTCTGTAACCTGCTCTCTGGTGCAGGAGAATCCATCTGTCCGCACAAGAAACATCTCTGCTTTCCTTCTTGACTGCACCCTTACAACACCAGTTGCAGAAGCACACATGTTTCCTTCAATAGTGCACATGCCATCATCACTAGAGGCTGAGGAAACAACACCATTGTTTGTATTATCATCCTTAATTATTTTACGTGCAAGATGCTCATTCATGCCTGAACCAGCAGAAGTATTACTACATCCATTCAGATGCTTGTCACTGTCAGCAGGTGAGCTCTGAGGCTTTGGAGATGCATTTTTACCACTTACTAATCCGTAGGATCTTTTTGCCTCCACGAACCCTAACTCAGGATCAATACCATCAACTTTCGGGACTGTCGCAACACCTGTCGTTCTAGAAACAAGCAACTTTTCAAACCCTTTCAACTGATACTTAGAGTATGTTGGAGGTGTGATTTTTTTAGTTCGGAAAAATCTGGACATCTCTGCTTTGGAAAAGAAATCGCAAGGAGGGACCTGAGCCTTCAGAGGGTCAGCTTCCAAGGAGATGTTTGCTGAGAATCCTACCCCATTATCTACCATTTCTAATGGAATAGAACCCTGAACAGAAGCATGGCCATTGTATCCCCCATTAATGATCTGACCATTTTCATCCTTTGGAGAGACAACTTCATTAGATGCTCCATTTGAACCATGATCTTTATCCAAAGCCTCTGGCAGAGATCCATTTTCCTGTCCTGAAAGGGACCCCCCTCTAAGGATGATGGAAGGTCCCTGCCTACTTCCCACATCTCTCTGAGTGGTAATCTGAGATGCACTGCGAGTCATATACTGCCTCCATCTGGAGACCATAGCAGAAGTTCTCCATACTCCTTCCTTGCTGTGGAGATAGATGGGCTTTTTGCTGAAATCTGAAACCAAAGAAGCAAACTTTTCAACCTGGTCCATTGAAGGTGCTGTCCTAACTTCAACAGGAATTTTAATCAATTCAACCTTCCCAGCTGCAATAGCATCAGCTACCTCTGCTTCATACAAGTTATCCTTAATAATTTCCGCCCTAAGATCTAAAATGGTCTTGAATCCTCTCTCCAGTAACCACTTTAGACCTTCCTCTGTTACCTGCCCACCCCTCCAAAATGCAGCCTCAGAATTTTTGGACATTAGATCTTCTTTAGAAGTGGATAAATAAACTGCATTCCAATTTGCAAACAGCATATGACAAGGACAATCATCAAGCCGGGGAAAACCAGAATCATAACACACATTCTTCAACCTCTGTAGTTTCCTCCATACATCTAGGCTTCGATCATAGTCAGGTGTCAAATAGTTTTCAAGAGCAACATGCAAACTCTCACAGCACCTTTTCATCTCACTCCTGAAAATGGCTAGAGGTGGAAGTTTATCCTCCATTGCACTAACTTCTGCATCCCGAAAGGAACTCATGATGGAAGATCTTCCAGAAAGAACATCTTCTCTTCCTTTATTCAAAAGCGAAAGGATGCAGCCAAGCACAGATACTATTTTATCTTCCAACAATGGCTTTTCCTCTGGCGTAAAATCATAAGAAATTTTACACTCTCCAGTCAATGGATTGCACAATGTATCCATCAATGCAGCATGAAGCTGTTCGGCTGCTCTAAATATTCTACAATAAGCCTCGACTTCAGCGATGTCCCCGGGAACTGGACCAATCCAGGGCAGCTGTGATGGATCATGAGACTGCCCGATCTTCTAATCAAATATATATCCATGTCAGTCTATCATATGGATGTCTTTCCTATATCATTAAGTGCCCATTTGGGAATAACTAGCTTTTGGCTTTTGTTTACATTCCATGGCTTTATTCAAAAGCAAAATTCCAAAGTGTTTGGTGATACTTAAAAGCTAATATCACAACCACTTCCACACATGACTTTACAGTCATTTTCAGAAGGCAATCCGTAGCTTTTGAGAAGCCACAGCCACAACTAAAAGTCACAGCATTTCCAAACAGACCCTAAATCATGATCTTTTATATCAACCATACATGTTAGATAGAAAATAAGTAAGAACCAAAACACGCAAAGTGGAAATAATATAACATACCTAGAAAATGAGAACAATTATTCTTGTTGATGCAGATAAATTGATAAAAAGGGAAATAGCAACATCAGTTAGGATGTGAAAGTAACATGTAAGTGGATAACCATGAGCACTAAGAAAACAAGATTGTGAGAGTAAGAACAGCTGAAAAGTGGAGCAGAATGTTAGTGGCCACTTCCTGATTTCAATCCCACAATAAGTTTTCAAACTCGGTTTCTCTAATTTGACAGCTTCTGATGATGGGCCTTGCCCTAGCTCAAAGGATACACTTCTGATGAAAAAATGGAAATGTTACCTTGTCAATTTACAACAATGTCATTTTGATGTGTGCTTTCAACCCAAAAAGATCCGTTAAACCCATTATCATTATCCAAGCATTATTTCTCCTTATTATGTAATCTTTTAAGTTCAAGTGTACACTAAACCTTTCAGTGGTACAGAGTCAAATGCTAGAAAACGCATTTATTATGATTACACTCGATACAATAGTTACCATAGTTTTATGGGGATGTAAAGAGTTCACCAAAACGTCTAATTTTGACTAATCATACAGGTTTGCTATTTCATGCCTATAACTATATTTAAAGCCCAAATTGGATGTTGGAAAGAAGGAAAAGCAGATAATTATGCCCAGAAGCTCTTCTTTTAGTTTTTTCCAAGCAAAACTTTGGCGCTCTCTCTCTCACTTTCAAAGACAAAATAACTTAACAACATTGTTGTTTCAATCACAAATATCTACTTAAGAGTACAATTAACTAGTTACAGAACGAAGCTCATTGCAATTTTGAATTCGACAAGCATAGTTCTCACTACTCAGCGGGTTTTAAATTAATTCCAATTGAGAAATTACATGAAGAGCCAGTCAAAAATTGAAGTTCGATCATAATAATCAGTAAGAAAAACCCATTAGCTGATCCAAGAGTCTCAATACGGGCAACATCAAATATTCACGAGTAAGAGTTTCCAAGTCACAGATATCATGTCAATCTTGCCCAGATGAAAAAGAAAAGGGCACCCGTTACTGTCTGGGACATTTAATCGAACAAGATAAATAAAAGAATACGAAGAGATCAGAAAGAAATCATATAGTGAGAAGGAGAATGACCTTAGAGTCCAAACCCAAGTTCACAGAGAAAGACCTGGATAACTCCGCACTGACGACAAACTTAAGCTTTCTCTTGAACCTCTCCTTTCTTTGTAAATAAAAACCACAACCCACCAGTTTACTGTCTCTGTTATGAAGCTTGAACGAGCATGGACATGACGTCAATATTCCGGTGACCGGAGATAACCTATTCATGATGATAGACACGTGGAAGAGACACAGCACCATGCGTGAATGAATTTTGGTTTTGGTGTTTGCTGTTCGGTTTATTTTTTATTTTTTATTTTTTTAGGATAATAAAATAGCGTTTAAGAATTGAGAAAAGAAAAAATTGATGTCGATCTTGTGCATATGAGATGGCGGATAGAAGTTATTTGAATTTAGGAGGTGATATTACTGGTAGCCTTACCTTTTCTAGCTTGTGGTGGTGGTGATGGAATTTATTTTTTTTTCTTTTAAATAAAGCTTTTGTCGTGTTGCTTCTAAAGTTTTTTTATAATGCTAATTTCGACCGAAATTAATTTTTAAGAAACTTTTATGCAGTGAGTTAATGGATTTAGTAAATCTTGTAAACTGAATGATTGAAATTATTTTTCTTACTTTCTTGAAATTATTTTTTATAAAATAGATATATACTATTTACTACTTGGATTCGCTCATTCATTTTATGTATAAAATCATTTTAAAGAATAATTCTGAGAAAAATACTCAATACAATTAGCATTGCTCTTTCTCAATGTCAATTCCTCAAATCCTTCATGTGATTCTTTCCCTTTGTGGGTGTCTTCTCTAATCTACTGTGTTTTTCATTTAATATTAATAGTATATTGATTTAATTGGAGAGGAAAGATGCAAATATTATTGTTGCGAATAGTGGATAAAATATAATTGTATAGTTAAGAGTAAACATTGCCACCACAAAAGAAAATACAGTTACCTCCACTTGATTAGCTTGACGGGGAATTATTGAAGGCTCGTCAAGCAAGCTTCTACTAGTCTCCACTTTTCTAGAACTAAGTTAAAAAAAAAAAAAAAGGAATAAAATCTCAATACTTAAATATGAAGTCTTAAATAAATTCAAAATTAGAGATTGGTCATGAGCTTTGCTCTACAAAAGGAAGACATGCTGATTGTTCAATATCAATGCAAAGGCAGGATTGGATGCCCATTGTTTTATCGACGACAGTCTCGTGAATCTTTAAGGAAAACCACACACACATCAGTTGACAAAATAAACTGCCATATGTTGCAAGTACTATTTCACTAGCTTGCAGATTAAACAAAAAATCATTCACTAATTTTGCATCCATTACAAGAAAAAAAGGTTCTCTCGTTCAAGTTACAACTCATTTTTCAACCCATGAATATTCTAAAATCTAGTCTTTTTTAATCTCAAAATTAATACAACTGATTTTGAAATTTAAGACCCAAAAATAAATATATAAACCAAACGTAAAAAAGGAAAAGGCTAATTAAGATCAATGACTTGTAAGAGTCTATTTAACCTGACCAGCGATTAATTAAGCGTCTGAATTAGTGAAAGATTTCAGTCGACCTTTTCTTTCTTTCATCCAAATCCCAGTCTCCAATTGACAAAACCGAATAGTGGGGACCGATATATATATAGTTGTTTGTCAGCCAGTCTTTGGTGGTGTTAGCGTGGCGCTGCCCAATTTTATTGGACAAAAGTAGCCTCGATAGAATGTTGTATTGACTATCTCTTCCTTTCCCTTTAATACTCTCTGTTCCCGAGATACTTCTTACCTTTCAGTCAGGCAAGGAATGCGCCTGTGCTTCAGCTCAGGTCATGCTACTTCTGGTACGAACTCTATCTATAAGCATTTGCCTCCCTGTCAAATCTTCTTCATAACCAACAACCTACATTTACAGCATCAAGCACCATCATTACAACAGAATCCTTCCTCCATCCAATAAAGGAATACGATGTTGCAACTGTGTTTCAACAATCATGTAGCTGATAAAAAAAATTTAGACGATTAAAGGGCTGAAACCTGAGAGTCTGTTTGTGTTTCGCTGAAACTATCATATGGTCCTCCATTTGCTTCTTTGGGACTGGATAGCTCATCTCTTCTCCCAGTCCTGAAAAGAACAGAGGAACAACACCCAATTCAAAAGAAGTGCACGGGATAAAAAGGAGGGGAAAAGGACCTTTACTAGCACAAGTCAAGAGGACATTTTGAATTTGAGATAAGCACGAAAATCTATCAGTTGGCTGACATTCTGACTTTTTCTTGTTCTCAAGGTTTTGTGTCCTCAATAATGACAAGCAGCCCTAATCAAGAGGGCATTTTCGATTTGAATTAACAAAGAATATTTCTATCCGCTGGCTGACATCCTCTCTTATCTTAAAGTTTCAAGTCCTCAATAATGACAAGGAAAAAACAAAAGAGTTACTCAAAAGAACGAGCGGCACAAGAACACGGCAAACAGTCAAAATTACCAAGGGACCAGTTCGAAAAAAAAGCATATATATAATCATTTATTTGATACCAAAAATACACGCTAATTGCAAACATAAACAAAAACTTGCCTACTTAACCAGTGCTTCGGTAACCCGATCACAGAGGGAGAACCCCCATGGCCTTCACCAAGCATTGAACAGTCAGATGAAAATAGCTGTCCTATTGTCAAGGATTAAACAGAAGCAGAAGTCGCATAGTATATATCTAAAGGAATAATCAGGATCTAAGGATACACTTTTATCACACCCACTCCTCCCTGGTGACTTCTGATCTTGAATCTTGTAGGAAAACCAGACAGAAATTAGTTAACCAGTAAATTGAATGCTAACCATGCAATCAAAAAATAACTGGTGTTTTTACCTTGCTTGTCTGCTCCAACAAGTCCTCAATAGCAGCAGCTACATCAGGAATGTCATGAGAAGATTCTCCATTATCTTTTGCGTCGTCACCTTCAGTGGAATTTATATTGCGGGTAGAATCACTCTTAACTCTAGATGAAAGCAGACTCTTCTGATCATTATCTTTAAGAATCTTTGCCTTTTTACAGATATCAGTAGAATGCTGGGCCTCTTCCATGAAGCTGCTGATTAAACTACCACCAGTTTGGGCTGATGAGTTTCTAAGGCCTTGTGGCTGAGTAATAAATTGAGATGCATTCTCTCCATATATCATTTGAACATCTTGTGTAGGAAACTGGCTCACAGTGCATAATCCTGCCTCTTCATCTTGAGAGGTAATTTCTTTTGGGCAAAACTGATCCACTGCAACAACTTCATTCTGCCAAAACAGTGCACCGGTTGTATAGAGATATTTTGTGCAAACAAGTACCACTCTAAATTTCAGAAGTTCAAGTGCAAGTGGATGGCGTGTGCATGCATACAAAGAAAAGTATCAGGAATATACCTGCCTGACACACTCGTAAATCCACTCAGATGTAATCAAGTATATGTTCCATTTACAGGCAGCTTCATACTTTGGCCCGCTGGTAAACTTGCATAATAAATGTGTGACCTTTCTAGTCAATTTCTCCACAAATTTAGCTCCAAGAACAAAGCATAAGTTTCTTAATAGCAATCTATCTTTCTCTTCATACTGTGAGATGCAAAAGCGGAATTTTTCAAAACCAGGCAAAGGAATCCGGCAGGGAAGTGGAGAATATATAATATGACTACCGATATCCAGCAGACATCCACCCTTCAATAGCAATCACATTCATTAGCAATTGTAAGTGAAATGGATTAGCAGACAATGAAGCCACAACAAACAAAATGCAAACAAATAATACAATAGCAAGAATAAGGAGCTACAGCAGCAGCAGAAAGAAGAAGATTATTAGACAAGTATTCAGTTTAGGCTATTATTCTTGAGGGATGAAAATACTTCTTAAGTTGATGGTAGAAATTGTGTTTTTCATGATAGCACAGTTGTGGGAAAAGTCAAAAAAATTAATTATACGTAGAGTCCATGGACTTGTTCTTGGAAGAAAAGGTACCAAATGCATACCTAAAGATGGTGCCTAGTAAAATAAGCTAAATCAAATTGGAGTTCTCAACCTCTTCTTTTTGCGTGTATTTATTTAGGAAAGAATCCATGGACTTTTACTTGAAGAATAATTTGAAGCATCAGCTAAGAAAGGTAAGAAAAGGTTATAGAAAACACCCAAGTGCTCGTTGTTTTTCTTCATGTCCCCACTTCTCTCCATGTAACAAATTCACATAAAAATCTCTCCCATTTCTTGTTCCTCCCCCTCAATGAAGTGATAAAGCTAAATATGAGGTGGAACATCAATGCATGCGCATGCTGATTCTTAACTGGAAGTAGAATCTGAGCCTCTATAATTCAAATCCTAATCAACAAATAATCATGCCACAATGAAACATTACTAAAAAAGAACATCGATGGTTACAAGTCACCCAAATATACCTCCAAACAAGACCGGACCCAGTGACTGGACACGTAAAGAGTCTGGGGATCATCAGCAGACCTAGATATCACACCATGGCATTCAATCATGAAGTGCACTTTCTGTTTTGCTATATCTACCAACACCTCACCTCCTCCTAGATTGATCCATTGCACAATTTCAGATCTCTGGCAGGAAAAAAATAAAACAATTAGAACATCACCAGACATTCCATGCAATAATTTAACTGCAATAGTTGGATATAAATGTATAAGAGAATGAAAATTTCAACTGGTTACCCTATCTTCAGGAAAGCTTTTTGAAAAACAAAATGTTTTCCCCTGAAATACATTTATTGACTTCATCCTTTGAACATCTAGACCACTGCAATCATTTTGAGTCCTTTTTGCACCCTTCTTTGGATCGTTTACAACAGGAAATACATTTTGTTGGGACCACCTCACAGTCCCTTCCAAAGGGGTACTCAAATTTATGTTCATTTCTGGTTTCGCATCTCTGTTTTCTTTCAATAATGATTGCATTCTAAGGCCAGAATTTGCACCACCGAGCACCTGATCAGAGTGAATGCTTGGATGAACAGTGAAATTCTTAGCTTGATTACGAGCCATGCCTGTAATTGTTCCTTTGAGAGAGCTCACGGGATCTACATGATCAGGTTGAGGAGTTAGAGAACATAACAAACATGCATGACAAGAGATTTTTAACAGCTTATTTACCAGAACAAAAATTAATCTCAGCAAAACACATAAAAAATAAATAAGTAACAAAATATGTCCAGTCTGATCATGAATAGAACAAAACAAACAAAAGTCAAAAGAAAGTCATCATAGAGTCATTAGAAAACCTTTGGGAAGAAGTAAATCATACGCAATATGCTGACAGAGAACAGGGATCTCTTTCTTTTCACGATCACAATCTTCAAGCCAGGCAGCTCTAACAACATTAATAACACCAGAAGCTGCAAGCCCTCTTAACTCCTTCTTTTCACTACAGTACATTAAGCATGTGAGAGACCAGGAATGTAAAGAATAAGAGATTCCCCAAATTCATCATGCCAAGCAGAAAGATCAAATCAACAAAATTTAAATTAACTGAAAACATAAGCAAGTTGGCATGGGATGATAATACATGAGAACCATTGCTTAAAAGAACCTGAAACAAATAAGGATAGTGGAAGAAAGCCAAGGCACAGAATGCTTACACCTCTGTCGGAGCCCCAACAACAATATGGGTCAATTTATCATTGAAAGTCATATACCGCGACCCCCCACCTTTCCGCACCATATTAACTAGTTTGCGTAATTCAGGAGCTTCAAAACCAACAAGTGATATTCTACACTCCGACAAGTACATATCACTATCTTCAGATTGAGAGTCATCGGCAACACAACCATCAAGGTTTGTTGCGATTGTTTCCTTTACCATAGGCTTATCACAGTCCACCACTTTTATAGAAACAGGACAATCTGAAAACATAGAAGACATGTTTTGTGAGAGTGTAGCTTCCAAGTCTGGATCTGAAGACCCAGCACACGTAGTAGCAGGCAAATTTGATTCTGAAGCCACTGAGGATGGGACAGAAAGCGTGTTCCCAATACACTTGTCTTGACTGTGTTGTGCAATCATGGGACCCCTCACTGTTTTGCTTGAAGATAGACAACCACCCTGGACAGGATAGGACTCCTCGTTAAGACACGCTATTCATCAAAGAAGGTGATTCGAAGTCAGATGCAATTTTTACAATCTCTAAAAATTTAATTGAATAACATGTTATGAATCCATGAATAAAAACAAAATTACTTCAAAATATTATTTAAATTTATAGCATCTATAATGTAAAGCACTACCTTTGCAAGCAACAGATTGATCAAACCATTTCCTCGTTACAATATGAATGTGGCCCCATCTTCTGGCAACCTTGTATTTGTCACCTTCAGGAGCGTACAAGCAGTCAAGAAAACAAATACACAAGCTTGATTACGCCTTTAGAAACGTTTATCATTCAGGACTGCCAGTTCTTGTACATATATTGCTATCTATTACTATATTTCCCAAGCCCAGAAAATGCATGAGATGTTTAAATCCCCTGAAGAGCAATTGCACAACACAATCCAACACAATCACAGATGCATGTGTGATATACAAGCTTACAACAGTCTAGGATAGGCAAATAAAAGAAAACACATATGAGAAACCATCTGTATGAAAACTAAAATAGACTGAACGGTTTTGTTATAAAAAAAAACACTTAAAAGAAAATTGCTGTAATGCGAGATTGAGAGTTAACAGTATAAAACAGTATCAAGATCAATGGTTTTCTTAAGAAAACAGGAAAGGATATATCAGATATCAAATGTGTACACTTCTTGGTCAGCTCAGCAGAATATTTCCCACCATTTTGTATGATGAGTTTTTCAATCTCCTTCCTTTTATCTGTGAAAATTAGCTAACTGGCATTAGAGAAATATATCTTTTCAGCAACAACAATAAGGAAATAGCTTATATGATAACCTGCTGGTATTCTTGTAACACATATTGTTAATCCAGAAAAAGGAAGAACCCTGTACGATTCCTGAGGAACAACACGGTGCTCATTCCAGCATTGATATAACCAATTAATAGTGACAATTGGTTTCTTCAGCACATTCAAAGCCCACTGCGAAAAGGAAAAGGAAAACAATAAAAAATCAGAAGAGCAATTATAGTAGTTATCAATGTAAATTTACATATCCTAACAATATTCTACCTGACCATCAAAACCTCTACAATAAGGATAGTAAAGATTGAACAATCATAAAGCAGATTGGGAATGGTCATTAAATGATGAAATTTTTAAGGCGTGTCAAATCCTTGTGGGTGGGGCACTACAAAATCTAATGACAGGACTCGATCACAACCTCTATCCAGTGTCAATGGAAAATGTAAGTTTAAACAGCATCGTTAAAAAAAAAATTCCTAAGAAGACATGCTTGATGACAAGCTCCAGTGGTTTAAAGAAAAAAGGAGCACAATCAAGCTCAACAAAATGCATCAATCAGTTTTTGGAAGTCTTAGAAGCTAATTCATTGCATCACGAACACTAACACACATGCATACAGAGAAAGAGCATGAGCGAAGAAGTAGAGCAAGGCATGAAACTAATTGTAGTGCTTGTCCACAAACAAAAGAATTACAACAAAACGAAAAACATTATGAATTTGCAAGAGTCGCCAAGAGCTAGACCTTGTACTTTGCAGCAGAAACATTCTTCACTACGACAAATCTAACATCCACAGATGCTTTAGTCTGCAACACCCCACCCATTGCTGTTACCATCTGTTCAATCTTAACCTGAAACAAAATAAAAAATATTGGAACCTACAGTATTATACATGTAATAATTGGAGAGGGAAGGACATGGAAACTGAAATTTGGACTCCCAACAATCTTCTGAATTAAGAGAGAGAGAGAGAGGCTGGAATGAGCCATTAACCCTTGAACAAAAAGAAAAGAAAAGAAAAAAGAGAGCTCATGACCAAACCGTTTGAATAAATATTGCATATAACCGTTGAACCAAAAAAAAAAAGTTGAAAATAATTCTTGGATAGTCCCCATCGATAAGCACAATACTTACCTTTTCATCCATGTCAAAGCCAGACGCGAGTACTTTGATGCCATCCATTGCAAGGCAGCAAGTGAAGCCCTGCTTAGGAAGTGGTCTATGTTCTTTTGCACAAGAAAGCACACAATGAGGACCTGCTCAAGATTACACAAACAAATAAAGATTGTCAATAAACAAAATTCACTTCATTAATAAGCAAGTTATTTCACACAGCCATATCCCTCCTTATTGAAACTACGCATATCAGCACAGTAAACAAGAAAAAAAATTAAAAAAACTATAAGATAATACCGAGCAAATTGCAGCCCTTAGCTTTAAGATCTTCGAATTTCTCCTGAAAGGTATAAAAACAATCAAATGAAGGTGAAACTGAATTGAAATGTGTAGGAATTGTTTAATTGATAGAACCTACATGATCGGGAGAAGAGATTATGTGGAAATCGTTGGGGCCGTGTCGCGAAGGATCGCAGCAGAGAAATACATCGGCACCGTTGTGCTTGAGACCATCGAGAAGAGCGTCGAAGACCTCAGGAGGAACAAGGTTCCTGGAAATGAACACGTTCGCTCCCTTGAAAGGCCACGTATTCAACATCTTCTTCTATCTCTTGCAAATGCTATGGGTGACCGCATCAGAGAGAGAGAGAAGACTAGTAAGCAAAAGGTAGTGGAGAGTAGGGATTTTATTTGTCTTCCTGGAGGGGAGAGAATTTTTAAAAGTGCGGAGATGTGAAACCACAAAGGGCTAATAAAATGAAAGCGCGGGAAAGGATGGATAGATGGGGTTCTGTCTCTATTTTTATGTTTTTAAAATATTTAAAACTTTTTTTTATTTTAAATTAATATTCTTTATATTTTTAATTATTTTAATATATTATTTTATTATTTTAATATATTTTTACGTAAAAAATAATATCTTCACTGCGTTTCCGATCATTGATGTCCCTGTAATGCATGCTTCAACCCTCCGATGGTAAGTCGCTTTTTGATATCTTGGAAAACCCGTGTCGTTTCATTTCCTGAAGAAAAGCATGTGATGTCGTTTGCTTGCTCTTATTTATAAGAGAGTACTGTCCACAAAAACTGCACGTCGCTCTATCCTCAAAAGAGCGACATGTCTTACATGATTTCCTGTTTTGACTTTTTTCTTGGTTGCTTAATGGTCTGTTTATTGGATCCAAAGGGGCTGTCCTGTCAGCGAATTTTGCCTTGGGACTTTTACATCTCATTACCAAGGCTCAGCTCTCTGTGGTATGAACTCATCACCACGGCCTGTTTCCAAGTCTCCGTTTCAGTTCTAAAGCAGAAAACCAACGAGATTTGACTTTTTTCTCGAAAGCAACACGGCCTCATTCCATCCATCTGCCTAAACCACAGTTTGCTCTGACAATCAGATATCACTGCAAGCCACTATCAACTACAAAAAAACAAGGCGGCGGATCAAACTAAAGAGCAAGCAATAAATAGAACAGAGAGTCTCAAACCGATGCCTCCAAGCAAGGAATATTGCACAAGCAATCTGCATCTCTTATCTGAGATGAGATGAGATGAGATGAGATGATACGCCAATTCACAACTCGCCAAACAAGGCAATTCAATTGCAAAAATGGTATCAATCAGCTAGTCAGAATTGATGAAGCTGTGAAGAAATGCAAAGGCAAAGGAAAAGGGACTTATGTTATACAATCACTTTTTTGGTGTGGACATCCTAGTCGAACTATTATTAAGTCAGCTAGATGGCTCGAAACTCGAAGGGGCAGTTGATGGAAGGTTTAACTTTTGGGGGGGAAGAACAGAAGCATGCTTATGTGACTTGTGTCTTTCCCCACTAGATTGGGGATGCAACTTCTCTGTACGGAGATGTGTTTCATCCAACTCTTGTTCTGGTTTCCTCTTTACCTTCTTCTTTGTCAGAGCACCATCAACACCCATCTTTGATTCATCCATGGAATTGCTTGAACTTCCTTTCGGCTTCTCCTTGAGCTTGTCCACAACAAGACCGTTTGTTGAAGGACTGGGTAACCGAACAGATGCTGCTGTGGAATTGGAAACTGGCTTACTAGCTAAAGCCAAAACAGGACCAGCCATTTCCATGGCCACCCTTTCTTGCACATGTGGCTGAGCAACTAAACCAGACTCAGCTCGAACAACCTCCTCTTGTTTAAGAGTCAACATCTTTTTACTCTTCATTTTCTCCAGATCCTAAATTTTACAAATCAATTTCAACATCAGCATCCCAACAAAAAAAGAAATAAAGAAAGCAGAAGATGCATGGGCTTTCAGAGTTTTTCACATAATGACCAACCGGTACTAAAAGACAACTAAAAAAATAATTATTTCTATAACAAGAAGTAAAGGTCCTCTCAGTAATAAAACAGCAGGCATCACTATTTCCAATCTATAACATCTACAAACCACAGTAGATGTTATATTCCATTGATAGAAAAACTACACTCCTGTTTTAATCGTAATTATACAAAAAAAATATCTCCGGCTTGAGTCTACATCAAGCAATCTTTTATCAACTTAAACAACTTTTTGAGACCCGCAAATGCCAGCCACTTCATAAATCACAATTCACCACAGCATAGTCCAACCTTATATGATTAGGATTGTAAATTAAGACTGTCAAGACATAGTTACAGTTATATTATTTAAACAAAAGAAGCATCTAGGAAATAGTAACCTTCATGTTTCAAATACAAGATGGTTGGGGATGGGGGGAAGCAGAATTAGATATGAGGAAGTTGCATACCTTATTTCTGCAGTATACAACCCTTCGTCTCTCTTTTGCCCTACAGATTGCACGCTTGATACCATGGTTGTCCATAAGGCCACTTGGCCACAATTGTGCAAGCTAAATCACAGATGAAATAGACCGTGAAAAGCATATTGGAGAAAACCAAATCAGATTCAATTAGACTTCATAAACAAAAAGAATCAGCACAAGAGAACATTGCTAGAAGGGCAAAGAAGTTGGTGATTGTAGAGCTGTAGAGGGCTAATAACTTATGGAAAATGGATATTGTCTTTAAGAATATATTTGGCATATGAAAGCACTAAGAATATTTTTGGCAAATGAAAGCACCACGAAACATGTTTGGGGAAAAGAAGGGGAAAAGAAAGCACAACCTCCACATACAACTTTCTGACTTGTGGACCTGAATCCTCATCCAATCCCTATAATCATCAAGATCAGAGCAACGCATGAGATGCATTGACAAAAAGATTTCCACAAAAAAAAAAAATTAAGGCATTCCAAGCAGGTATGTACCTCAACAAAAAGGTCATAAAGATCACAAATCTTATCCTCCAACAGAACATCCATGCTAAATTTCTTTTTAAGGGCCTCTTTTTCTTCAGAACCAATTTCTTGAAAATCATCAGATGCTCCAGCTTGCTGAACTAATGCCTGAGAAATCATTGGATCAATTCTACAGTGTTTAAAAAGCAATAGAAGTTAGCATGCAATGGTCAAGGAACATTCATACTTCCATCAATAAGGTGCTGTAAAGGCATCATTAATTGATAATCAATTATATCAAGATTTCAGATGCAAAAGCGCTAGTATTCAATTAATTCTTGACAAGCATGTCACCAATCAGCATTTAATATGTTTCATCCTTTAAAAAAAAAAAAAAAAAGAAACGATGACTAGGGAAATATGTAAAAAACAGTTTCATCTATCATTGACTTCTAGATAGATCTCCAGCAAAAAGAGCATTGTACCTGAAGGCCCTAAGCAACAGTTCTGAATGCCAGTCTGAGTTTTTTTTTTTTTTGTGTGTGTGTGTGTGTGTGAGAGAGAGAGAGAGAGAGATGTATCAACATACATTAGACTCCACAGAAGGGATTCGTGTCGTAATCATCTCCGTAACCTCCTTCTTTATCTGTTGAAACCTATCATCTTTCTCCTGCTTCACTGACAAGCCTGTGTTAATCATTATTTTCAAGTTTCTCTGCAGCAAAAAAAAAAAACGAGAAGCTCAGAAAATTTTCACAAAAGCTGTAAACGATATTGAAAGCCAAGGCGCGTAAAGACAGCAATGATAATACAGATTTCATCCATTTTCATACTAACAATTACTACCATGTTTTCATTTAATCTATCATAATGCTATCATGGCAACATAGAGGGCTTGAATGACCACAGAAACTCTTCCAAACATCAATAGATTAAGTGATGTGATTGTGGTTAGTGGTCTTTCAGATTAAGATTGTCTTGTGATTGTGTGATTTGATCATTTCCATCTCTAATTAAATTTTCTTCGATCTAAAAAGGTCAATTGTTCATTTTATATTCAGTAGTAATAAAATGAAATGTATCAATGAGAAGTGGTGACTTAAAACTGGTTTCCCAGATTCAATTCTTCAGAATTTCTCAAAACTAAGAAGAGAGTGACAGGACTTAAAGCACCAAATAGGCAACTTAACACTACATCCACAAGGAGCAGCAACCACAACCATCATCCAAACACTTCCCTCAACTACTTGGAGATATCACAGATGAGAATTGCGGTTGCAATCTGGGAGAGGGAGGGGGAGAAGAGGGAAGCAACGCAACCATATTTAAGAGTCATGTCTTCAATCTCAACAAGAAGATACCTTCAGTGTCCTGAGCTGAATTAAGTGACCAAGAATACTCATTAGACGATTCAGTAACTCTTTTGACATTTTCCCTTGGCTTGCCTGTTGCAACCATTGGAAAGTAAACATTTTACATTTCTTTGCTGCCTCCTTGTATAACTATCAAAGACAAGAAAAGCAAAAGAGTATGTAATGAACAGTGTTTAAAAAGTTAAGAATTATAGTACTGCTAGTCTGGCAACTTTGGCAAGCTTCAGCTTTATTTCTGTAGGCAATCTCCTTTTAATTGCCTGGGCTGAAGTATCAGTCTCTTGATTCTCCATAGCAGGTGGCCTTGCTGTAATTTTTTACACAGAGAAGAACATTTCAATTTGCAAGAAACTTGCACATATTATAGTCATTGGGAGTGTACATGTGACAAGTATTTTTGAGCTTACATTCTGCAACCATCTTCTCTAACTCCCTGATAGCCTTTTCTAGCATCGAACTTTTAGGCCTGACACTAGAACCATCCTTTCTGTGGACATGTGAAGTTTTCTGCAAAGTTTTACATTCAAGATCAAGACAAGCAACATGGACATGTTATCAGACCAACATACAAAATGCTATAGTTTCTGTGACAAGAAAGAAATGCAGTACATGATAAAAACCTTTAACTAGACTCTCTCTGGAACAAGAAATCATGGCAGCATACAGTAAAACTAAATGGTTCTAAAATAATTTGCACATGCATCCGAGCATTAGAGACTGTTTTCCAACAATACCTTCTCCTCTCCAAAAAAATAAAAAAACTATTATTATTCCAAATATTTCTCTCTGAAACTCATGTGGCACAGTTTAATACACCAGTGAAGATTCAAAGCTATATCTGCATGTAAGAGTTTAACGAGTAAATTCACAGATACAAGATCTTCATTTCCAGATTTTGCTGAGTTGCAATGCATGGTTATCTGAATCCATCTTAAAAATAGAGCTAAATGCTAATGCCAATATTACTAATTTTGGCTAAAAAATCTCAAAGGAAAAGAAATTATAAAATAAAAAAATGTCAGCTTACTGCTGCTTGCGTGTAAATCTTGCCATCAGAAATATTAAGATTGAGATCAGGAAGTTCACGGACCCCATTCTTTTCTTTTGATCTAACTGATGATTCAAGAT